ACGTGGTTTTTATTGATATAGGCTACATTTTCTCAAACATCACAATATAGTTCCCGAGGATTATTAGCCTGTTCCAAAAAATTGCTTGGAGATGCAACTCTAGTTTAAATTATAAAAAATATTCGAATTAAATAGAGAACTATTTATCCATATCTATACATATAATATAATTCTAACTAAGCCGAATCTGTACATTAAATATTTTTTGGAAAATCTTATTGAAATAGACATTGTTATCGATACAGAGGCCGAATCTATAGTTTTTAGAATTTTTGTCTGTCTGTCTGTTACCGCATCGCGGAAAAACCACTGGAGGGATTTTGATGAAATTTTCTATGATAATAGCTGGTTATCTGAGTCAACATATAGGATACTTTTTACCGTGGGAAAATATCTCATTTTTGAGAAAGAATACAAAAATTGCAATGTTAGAGTATACTAATATGTAAAACCTAAGAATTTGGTTTTTGGTCATCTGAACGCGGGCGGAGCCGCGGGCAATGCTAGTATAAAATATGATCTAAATAACGAGACTTATTTTAGACATTTTTGATAAGTGTAGGTCGTCTGGCTGATTTTGCTTCGAAGAGGATAACTTAAAAACTGTAAATTTTTGAACAAATTTAATTAAAGACACTTACAATTATATATTTTTTCGTTTAAAAGTGGTGCCCGCGAACCTAGCGTCTGCTAAGAAGCTAGTATAAAATACGAAAAGATTATAATTAAGAGAACTTATTACTTGTTTCCGTCTACGATATACGAGACTTGTAAAGTTTGAGATTTTTTGTGTTGAAATAAAATGAATATTGGAACACGTAAAAACTTTGCTTGTGTTAAGATGATTTTTGTTATTTCACGTGGCGTCTGTGCTAATAAGATTAATGTTATTTTATTAAAGCATAAAGTCTGTTACTTTTTGCATGATTATGACATAATCAAATTAAGCAGTGCGGTGATCCATTGTTGTAGACAATGCGTCTAGTCAATGTTTCTCACCGTATACGCATATGACTCACAATGACGTAGCAAACATCACGCTCACGGACCATATAGGATAGGTTAATCATTTGCACTGCGGGCCTTTTACTATTTTTCACTGCGTGTATTTTTGTCCGTGTGCGTATACGTAATATTTTAGTGGACAACTCAACGCTTATTGTTGCATACATAAGTGTTATGTAATCGTTGTAAAATGCTTAGTTTTATTGAGGCCGATGGTCACTATGGAGGCAATTTGCGGATTATACATGTATTTCGCGTTCTAATGCGAATATTCCGGCGCCATCTCTTCTATCTGGTCACTATAAGGAGGGCTCGAAAAAATCTATGTCGAAATTTGAAAGAGTGCGATGTGTCGCTGCGGTGCCTTCGAGTCTGGCGCATTGCAAAGCTTACGGCGGCGCGCTGTCTGCGCGTTCTTCCGGACCGCACCCGTCCGACCAGTCGTAGCGCCTCCCGCTGCCCGCCTCAGGCGATCGGCCTTCAAAGTTAAATAATTACATCGAGAGAGCGACTCAGTGACCGCAGCTTTGCAAGCAGGCCCCGAAGACGCGGTTGCGGAAGCCCCTGCCAGCCTTGATGGCGCTGATCTGCGCAATCGCGGCCGGTTTGTTGTGCGCACATTGCGTTGCTGCCGCACCTTATCTTCTCGAATGTTGTTCTAGACTGCTTGACCGCCTTGTTCTTTTAATTGATTGTCTACAAAAAATATGCGTAGGAATCAGTTCGGGTCTGATAGTTGAAATACTAGTTACGCTTATTTGTAACGAAGTAAATTATGTTATGTAATAATAATATGTCAATGAATAGGGAAGCTCTATAATATTAATTACTATTTGAATCTATGAGATTGTCAGCTCTAGTGAACTTTAAATTGTATGACGACAAAACTAATGCTATAAATATAATATACATTTAAGAACATACCGAATATTCAAATTCGTCAGAATATTTATTTTCTTATTAAGTAAATCCTGATTAATTTAAAATTAAATTTTACGCAAACTTAAAATTAGATTTTATTTTAATCAGTATTACCATTTTTAAATCACATTTAACTAAATTAGCATTTTAAAACATTGATTATATATTAGATTCTTCTAAATTAATACATAACTTATTATCAATGTACAAACATATTTTATGTTAGGCACACAGTTTTAATGTTATTTTATATTTGTACAGAAAATTAAAAATCTTATAATAATCTATATATAAATAAGCAAAGACAAACCAGTATCTTTTTTCTCCTCTGTTTGTCAACCGATTTTCTTTTTTTTTTGTAGCTGTTGGCGAGCTTAAATCTTCTCTATAATATAAAAATGAATCGCTGAATGTGTTGCTAAGCGCAAATCTCGAGAGCAGCTGAACCGATTTCGCTAATTCGTTTTTTAGAATATTCCTTGAAGTACGAGGATGGTTCCTACGGAGAGAAAAATTTAAAAAAATGCTTGAAAAAGTCTAAAAACAATACTTTTCTATACTCCCATTCAAAACATTCGTAATAATACTTAAAAGTCAATTTGAACTTTATTACGGTACCATAAAGTTTAAGTATTAGTGGAGAGGTTCCGGGAAGGCAAAACAATTGAGTGACGTTAGTATCGTATAAATATTAATGTCAATATTTGTCAATATTATTAACAATAAAAATTAAAATGTATATGGCTAACGCTGGCTAATAACTATTTGTATCGATTTAAAACATACCAAAAAACGTAACAAAAAAAGATTATGGTCAAATTTTGACCACGGCGAACACTCGTAATACTAAGTATTTGTTATTGCTCTGTACTGTAGATAAAGCTTAAAAAAGTTTTATGCCCGATTTCACCAACGTCACTTAAGTTTAAGAGATCCCCTAAACATGGTTAGGGGGCTGTTAGGGGACAGTTTCTGTTTCACCGACAGTTAGGGGTCACCTAAATGTTAAAAGGCCCCCTAAATTTAGGTGCTCGAAATATGGGCTTAAAGACGATAGTAAAACGAAATTTAATTTAGGGGCTAGTTGTTTAGTGGAGTTTTAAGCTAGGGATCCCATACGTAGGTGGTAGCTTATGGGTTGTTGGTGAAATCGGGCATTAATGTTTTTATAAACCTTTCTCCTAAGTGAAGCAAAGAAACTTCGAACGCGGATACGAATAAATAAATGTATTAAATATACTTTAAATATATATATTACTTATACTATTGAAAAAAAATCTGCTGTTCTAGTTCTACAAATGCATGTCTTCAAATATTTCAACTTATATTAAAGTATTATTATGTAGGTAAATATATTTGAAGACTAGCAGAACCCGCGGCTTCGCTCGCGCTATAACCACAAACAATCTCTAAAAAGGTAGGCTTCATAGAAACTTTCATCCCCTATTTTACCCCCTTATGGGATGAATTTCGAAAAATGCTAAAACACGTAATTATTTAATTGTATTGAAAAGCATTAATACCAAGTTTCAAGTAATTCTGAACACATATATTTTTTTGAGTTGTATTATAACGTGTTTTCCCGTGGGAATTAGATAATCTTCCGCGGTAAAAAGTAGCCTATGTCACTCTCCAGCCCTCCAATTATCTCCACACAAGAAATCACGCCAATCCGTCACTCCGTTTCGACGTGAAAGAAAGACAAACAAACAAACACACTTTCCCATTTATAATATTATTATGGATACGTACATATAACTTTCATGAACATGTTTGAATTTACTTTTATATATGTTAAAAATTTTGACAACTATTATTATTATTTGAGTACGGATACACAGTTACATATAATTTCACGAAAGCTAACAAGAAAAACAAACAACTCGTAACGTTTTATTTAAATTCTACATAGTTATTGAGTGACGGGCATCCTGTTTTATGGGTTGTCGGCGACTCAACAGTCGGACGTTTCTGCGAATCAATGGATATTGTCGCAAATTGCCGCTTTCGCCACCCGCTGAATAATGCATGCGATAACATACATAACTTCACGTCGCACACTGGCCTCGCGCCGCTCAAAATCATTGCCCGCGCTCGCGTCCGCTCTCATCCGCGTTCGCAATACTCGACAGCGAACACGTTTCCCCTAGGTACCTATGCCATATTATGTAAACGTACCGATGGAAAAAGTTATTGCTTAACAAACATTCTAATTATTCCGTCTACGAAGTTGCCAAAAGGCTATCGTTAAACTTTCCAGCCTCGTCTATACCATATCTATAATCCTTTAGAAAAGGAAACTTTATAAAGGTAATATAAAATTAATAGGGCGATGATGATGATCTGTCAGCAGTAGTCGGATACGGATACGGATTGGCGTGGCACGGTGATGGCGGCGTTTCCCACAACGCCAGCGTCGACCAGTTCGTCGGAATGTGGTCGCGGCACCGGCCCGCACTTTCACCAAAACAATTCGTTAGCGGCCTCTTTCGCCACCGCACCGCGGTCCGCGCTACCTCGCACCACCCGCACTAACCTGTTAAAGACACGTGAAAATTATTGACATATTGCACTTATCAATATTTATCTATGATTATCTTACCTACCCTTAAACAATTTCAAGATGTCTGTCTAAAAACGTATAGAATATAAGCAATTAGAATTGAATTCCATCTCAGATGAGATCAAAAAAGAAATTAGTAAAAGTCAAAGTCTCACAAATCTGCTTATACTGTACAAATCTGCTAATACTGTAGTAATGTTATTTGTATGGCCGACTGCCTATACCCTACGATTCCTTCCAAGTCGCATGTTTTCAAACTTTACAGAAACATCTTATTAAGAAAAACTGTGTCATCGTTCCGTTTCTTTATTTTCTTTATAGTGTCCTTTATATCAAGTTGCACCACCAGCATTTGTTAAGTGTAACTTTAATATTGAAAATTATTCTTGGGAAACAATAGATATTTTATTAAAAGTGCTACATATGTACTTATAAATTGGTAGTTTTTATAAAAAATCCTATTTCCTTATCCTTAAAAAAGAAATGTAATAATAATAATGTAATTTTATAGGTATGGACAGCTGTCTGGTATGGTAGAGCCCGTGTTTGGTGTGCTTGGAGCAGTAGCTGTGGCTGCAGCGAAACCAGTGCTGCCGTATGCACTCGCATTCGCGGCAGGTGCTATGATATATGTCGTGGCCGATGACATCATTCCTGAGGCTAATGCATCGTGAGTATCATTCGTTGCATTTACATATAAAACCACACTTCGTTGGAAACTTTCATTAAAGCAATAAAATTAAAGTAACCCAATATGTAACCTATCAATATTAATAAATTAGTAATATCTCTTAACTCAAGATATTTATAACCCCACTATAAACAAATGCACTGATTCGGAAAATTTATGTTTTTATCACTGCAAATTAGGGTCTATTATCGTTAATGCTTACGAGTGTAACTGGGTTTGTATCTCTCTTATATTTTGTATCATAATGGAATAACTTAGCTAACCTTGAGATTTGCCCAAAACATATGACAAGCGCAAGTCTTTGTTCTGACCCTCGCGAGACAAGGCCCTCGAGTCCGCTTTCAATACCAATACCTACCAGATAAAATCCCTTACTGAGGCCACATAAAACCAGAGCCACATTCATTTTAAATACTCGTCTAATGTAATGTGTACAGTAATGAGTACACAATATTGTGTTTTCATAGATTCACGTTGAGTCTTACTTATTCAACACATAGGTGGTAAAACATATTTGAAACGGTTGGTTATCTACAAAGCAAATCTCGAATCTCAAAAACAGGCTCCTGTCATAATTGGATTGACGAGGGTTCCGATATTGCTTGATTATTCTGATTCATATTGGTCTTTCGAGCTTGGTATTTAAAGCTCGCTTGTTAGCAACATGATGTTCTAAGGATCCCGTTAGGATGTCGGAATCTATTGTAGTTGGTATATACTTCCCCTTAGCGACACCTCTTTGTACATCTTCCGTATTGTCCAAAACCGGTCTATGTTCCCTTCCGTCCAAACTCGTCCTTCAGAGTAATTTACTAAATTGTTCTTATTAGCTAACTATCAAATGTTTTTTATAGACATTTAATTTGTATTAAATTTGTGTACTCTCGGGATGATTCGATTTTGTTCATAGATTTCCATTTATTGATCTCATTGGTATTTCTCGCATATTTTCCCACGATTTCTAGTTGGTTGGTTATAGCCATTACGTAATACTGAAAGTTGGTGTTAAAATTCGTTCAAAAGTACCCACAACATTACAAATTTTATTAGGTAACGGATTTACACATATCACTGTGATTTTTTGTAATTGAATTGCCCGGATCACGGTATATTGCTGCGTAACAAAATGTATCGGTAAAAATGGGCAGAACGGAATTTGATTTGATCGTTTAATGTTCGCACTTCGCGGAGCACAATCAATTTGTTATATAACATTTAACAAATATGTAGATTCAATATGATATGTAGATCTATTTATTTACGTAATCGAAAATTGCTCCTTGAAATGCCATAGTGTAAATGCGAATGTTCGTGTGGTGCAAGCGGCACATGTAGTGTGGGCGCGCTGCGACGGCGGGTTGCGCCGCAAATACTTGGACAAAAATAGCGTCGCGCCGTCTGGCACCCTGGACCCGACAATTTTATACTGCATTTTCTATAATTTTTGTTTTTTACTGATGTAATGAGACAAGATACCAGTATAAAACATATAGCAGTCCTATAAAAAATATAATAAAAGTTTTAAAAAATCGAAAATGTACAGTGTAGTTCTAAAGATTCTTTATTTTATGAAAGTTGTTAAATTATATGTAGTGTATGCAAATGTTATCTATGTTTTAGGCTCAGATAAAAAGTAGTAAATGTGATAAATGAAAATAAAACCATTTATAACTTGTCAGATACACTAGTTTATAACTAACTGCCGTTTATTAAATAAAGCTTTGTAATTTCATGTATTTACAATATAAAGAGTGCATTTCTATTATATGTTAGCCTAACTTTACACTAACATATTTTCCGTCTGTGTATGTAACTGCGAAGGGTTGCGCGTGCGCGAGAGCTTTGCGTCTATTTACAGCGGCACGGAGGGCGGGCGGCGGACAACCGCGGTGTCGCGTTATCAAGTAAATTCGGTGCGTGCGTGGGATTGTCACCGTCTCGCCACTGTCAATAATAATAAATAACGCGAAATAACACATTTGTTACTGGGATAAAGCTGGTGACGATGTTCTAGTTTGTCTAAGTGCTGTCGTCACTGTCTGAGAATTCTGCGCGCCAGCTGACACTCCCTGACCTACCTCCAGATATCACAATACGCATTCAGGATACGCACTTTTATACCTTTCGATATTTAAATAAGCTTCGATTATGCATAGGGTCGAGCACCTCACATACTTTATTCGACGCGATTCATTTTAATGTGATCAATATTATTTAACACGATGCTAATAATAATAAAAAAGGGCCAAATGTAATAAAAAATATAGCGAATAAAACTTTTTATACAAAGTAATACAACTTATATTTAAAATATACTAAAAGATGTGCGTAATGTTCTCCTAAAATAAGGCAACAGTTTAAAAAAATCATTTATCATTATATATGAGAAGTCAAAGTTATATGATTGTCCACTATATTTTTGTTTGTAGCTTGTAATGAGTTTGATCCATTAGTACAAGTATCAAAACGTTATGTATGTACATATTACACTATAGATACTATTTTAGTATAAAACCTAAGTGACCAAGAAACTATAAGAATGTGATGTATCCATAAAATTATTCAATGTTAACGAACCTTCCGCTTCGTTTAGGCATCGACATATTTCGGACCGAAAAATAATATTTATCAAATTATAAATGTTTTGTGCGATTATCTATACATACTTTATTAAGTTCATGATATTTTACGATAAAGACTGGTTATACTGGACTTTAAAAGGAGGAGGAAAAAAAACTGATTCCCTAAGTTAATGAAAACGAGAACAAACTTTTTTTTTAACACACAGCACCATCTAGTTACATGGCAAGCTACGAGGCTTGTGTTATGGATACCAGATAGTTGATACACTAAACATATATAAACTTTAAATACATACATATTATAAATAAAAACACCCATGACTGGAGTGCAAACATTCGTGCTCATCACAGAATGAATGCCCCCAGCGGGACTCGAACCCGCGACCGCTGGCACAGCAAGTAAGGTCACTACACACTGAGCCAAACGTTATTATTACTCTACTTTTAATACTTGAGAACGTAACATGATCTTTTAAAAACAATAGGTCTGGGGGGCAAATGCAATTTGTATGACATAAACAACGTCGAAATGTGCAAGCGCCCGACTCATACTTCTTAGTATATGTATATTGTACATACATACATTTTACATTTAAAGTTAGAAAAAAATTAATTAAAAATGAACAGTATAAGCAACTACAAGCTATATTTAAATAGCTCACATTTTATGTGTTATAATTAAGATTAGGAGCAATTTATGAACAATAAAAGTGAAATACGAAATAGAAATTTTTAAATTAAAAGCTTATAAAGCTTATTTGAACTTTTCGACATTTATATTGTATTTTTTACTATAAAGTAATATTTTAAAGTTAAAATAACCAACATTTTTTGCAAATTGTGATCTCCGTAATGTTTCTTTATTAACAATCTGAAATACCCGTTTAATTTCATTTTCTGATAATTTAACTTATATGTAAGGTACGTATTCATATCACGATCGAAATATGTAGTTTTTATTTTATTTTTGTTTAATTTTTTAACCCTATATCGTTATTATATTTTAGCTGTATTAATAGTGTTTGTAATTTAAATAATAGCATTAAATTATTTTTTTTCATTCGTAACATATGCGAACTGGATTACATGACTATCAGAAGGACACAATTTTGTTCTGAACATTTATTAGACATAACTTGAAAAATATATACGAGTACGTTTACAGTAAAAATAAAATAATATACATATATATGTATTTATATAAATGCTTTATGCATCCTATAACATTATTATACAATATTATTATATTAACAAATTAAAACTGAAGTGCTTATATTTTTACGTCCTTATTACATTTATTATTAAATAAAAATATTAAAATCTTGAAATGTTGAATCGACTCTAGCCTAATTAAGACTTTATTGTCACAATTTAAGTTACGTGTATTCAAAATATTAATCTTTAGGTACAACACTCATTAAAATGAATGATGAGAAAAGTTTTCATTTTGATCCAGCTATTGCATAAAAAACTAACTTTAAATATAAGAAAAATAATTCAACTTTACTCTGAAAGGAAATATCGAAATAGGTTTTAACAAATACTTTTAAATAAAAAAATAAGCGATAACATATCCAATTCCCCTACTTTACTCGCAGTGCTATCAAGAATTTTGTTAGTTATTTAATGAAATTGAAACATTTATAGAAAATTGAATTGAACATTTATATTATCGTATTTTTGTCTATCTGTTTGTTTGTTCCGGATAATCTCTGAAACGGCTAGACTGATTTTGACGGGACTTTCACTGGTAGGTTATAGGCAGTAACATAGGCAACTTTTATTTTAGAAAAAGAATTAGGGTTCCGCTCAAAAAAATTAAAACGTACCTACGGACGAACCCGAGCGAAGCGAGAGTAAGTCGCTAGTTTCTTAACATATAAATGATGAATTATTCACATTAAGAATGTTTACATTAGAACTTGTCTCATACTGGATAGATACGCATGTATGTACGTGGAATCGTTTTATTGTAATGGGCTATAATTCCAGTTAGCGGAATCCGTCCGGCCGTCAATGACTATTGTTTCTCTAAATCCAAGTGCGTGAGACGCAAGCGCCATCGCTGGCCTTTCCGATATCGTAATTTTGCTACTTACTTGATATTCACATGTCGTCTGATCGTTATTTCTCAATGGCTCGCATTGTATGACGACAATATTTTATAACGGACCTCGATGTATGTTCGGGTGTAGCAGCGAACTATTGTGTTCACCCTGTACTATTGGGAGCCGTCATAATATATCAATTTGACTGCGGAAGCATTAAATGTGCCCTAAACAGGATATTTGCGAACGTTATTTATAAACTAGCATTGCCCGCGGCTCGCCCGCGTTTACATGACCAAAAACCAAATTCTTAGGTTTTACATATTAGTGTGTGTATTCTTACAATGCAGTTTTTGTATTTTTTCTTAGAAATGAAACATTTTCCCGCGATAAAAAGTATCCTATATGTTGACCCGGATAACCAGCTATCACTATACCAAATTTCATCAATATCCGTCCAGTGGTTTTTCTGTGATGCGGTAACAGACAGACAGACAAAAATTCTAAAAACTATAGATTCGGCCTCTGTATCGATAATAATGTTTATTTCAATAAGATTTTTCAAAAAATATTTAATGTACAGATTCGGCTTAGTTACAATTTTATTATATGTATAGATTTGGTTACCTCTTTTGATTCTTCCTTTTAAATTTATTGCACTGTCTAATGTCAATCATAAATGAAATTGTAATGACGTAAGAATAATAATAAATATAATAAATACACCTTAAAGAATAAAAACCATTTATATATGTTTAGTTCAATTCACCGTTATTATGCGTCCACTGTGCTGTTGTTCTACACATACATACTTTAAAAATACACATTCAAAATTTCTTTCATAACATTTAATTCATACAAATTAAAAACCATTTGTTTATGAATATATTAAAATCTTGATACATTTCTTTAGTGCAGTTGTTTTCCTTGTAAATTAGCCTATTTTACATAAATAAGTAGTCTCGCCCCGTTATATTGCTTTCTTTTTATTTTTTCCCAATGTACCTCCGCAATGCCTTATTACCTATACAAGATTTTCTAAAACAACTTTTTTTTTTTGTAAAATTTAACTTTAAAGCTATGAGACTATAACCTATCAATTCATATTAAGCTTCATTTAGATTTTTTTTAATATCGTAAGTTTCATTAATTTGATTTATGTGTACAGTGGCAACGGAAAGCTGGCGACATGGGGTTGCATCGTCGGATTCATGGTCATGATGTGTTTGGATGTAGGTTTGGGGTAAACCCATGCTATCGTGTGCCTTCATATCATTGTTAATGGGTAAAATGACGTCGCTCTTAAATTATACATAATATATAATTTGGCAATAGCTTTTAAACATATTCATTTTAAATTGTATTTATATAATTGCAGATTAAAAAAAGTTTAATTTTCAAAAAGAGTAAAAAATAATGTTATTGAGATTTTTACAGGAATGTATGTTTTGTGCAAAATTTATTTAGGTTTATCAATTCATATATTGATAATGATCGAACTGAATGTATGATAACAATATAAGTTCTTGGCTAACGCCATTTTATTTTTATTTCACAATTCCTTTTGTATTCAAGTCAACGACACATATAAGGTTAAATTGTAGGAATCTACTTCTACAATTATTACAGAAAGGTTAATGTTATATTACCCTACATATTACGAAAATTGTAAGTATATTTTCACACAAGCAGCTGCCCAATTTAAGTTTTTTCTAGTTTTACTAATTATCTTTTTATTATTTCAATAATTTGTCGATAGATAATAATTAAAGATATCAATGTAATTGAACTGCATACGTTTAATTACTTTCACAGCTGCTTGTGTAAGCTCCTTGTATAAACATTTTAAAATATTGTTTCTGTGCTTGTAAAACTTGTAAATATTTTAGAATATTTAGATATGCTTTTATATAGTTTATTTATAATATACGCAATTCCTATATGTTCTCTTGCACAAAACATTTAAAATGTATATGCGAGTGAATTTTATGCTATTTATTGAAGGCAAATTGATTGTAAACTAACATACGACTCTGGCGCTGATAAACGGTAACAATTGATATTTATTAAGTTAATTATTAGTTAAATTTAGTGTTTCAAGTAATGAATTATTTCAATTTTTGAACTTAAAATTTATTCCGTAGTACAAATTATGAAATTTTTATTTAAATTACCAATTGGTATATTTTTAGTTGAATGTTCTTCTGTTACAAGATCCTTGTAGTTACTGGTTAGTATCAGATATATTGTTTATATAATTCAATATATGGCTCCATGTATGTATATAATTATATTATTTAATTAAAGATGGATGAATGGAAGTGTGGATAAGATAAAAGTTCCAGTGTTTCCGAACTACAGTATTTTTAATATATAATTAGCAGCGATATTTGTAAAATGAATAAGTATATTATTAGAAGTAATATGTTATAATTATTTGAAAATTTTAATTTAATTTATATACATGTAATAATTATTATTTAATTAAGTTGTAAAGTTGTACCAATACAAAAAGAAATGCCAAATTTGAACTTTTTATTGCAACGATGATATATACATATATTTAAATTATATACTGTAATGTTGTCATATTAAATATCAACGATAAACCCTAGCATAAATCAGGTGCAATTGTAAAAATTAAGAATTTGTAAATTTTATAAATAAAATATGATTTTCTATTAAAATATTTTGTATAATTTTTATTTATTTTTGTATATCAGTAGAACCTGCTTGTCACAGTTCTTTTTTCGCCATTCTTACAAGTGTACTAATAGGCTAGATTGACTTGTCAAAACGTAACCTATTTGATATCATAGACAACCATAGCAAGAACAAGACTGTAAATAATACTTTGAATCATTAATTCCAACAATCGAGAATTAGAATTAACATCAACATGCATTATTAGATTAATAATGTTGGTATCGTTTATTAGGAATATTGACCCCAAATTATATGAGGGTAAATTATCTAAACAGTATACATAAAACGGGATAGTGTCGTCGTACGTTGATATGAAGTAGCGGATAACATAACAAACGAGGAGGAATTGCATTAGAAAAGTATGAGGAAGGGCGCTACGCGGCCGTTGACCCCAGGGGCGCTGCGCTCGCGCACCCAAACACACAAATTCTTGGGCGTACGCGGCTGCACCGATGCGATAAAATCCTCTCAATGGCATCTCTGGCGCGCCTGACGCAATATGGTGTCGCGCATACGCTTCCGCGGCTTTCAACTAGATCTAAACCTTACATAGTATAGCCACGAGTATAATCTTAGAATAGCACAAATAGCATTTTCAAATACAACTTCATTACAGTTCAAAGATGTGCATTAGGTAAACCTATACGACATTTCACGAAAGGAAGGTACAATCTTGTAGCAGCAGTCAAATTTGGTTTTTAGAACTTTTATCTGTTAAAATTAATTTCCACATTGGAATTCAAAATTTTATTACGCTTCATTAGAATGGGCTTAATAAAATTACCTTTCTAAGGTTAGGTTCTAACTTGCGTGTTGCTATACTAATGGAAAAAATCACAACATGCATTGATTTTTATAAATAGAGGGATAAAAACATTTAAAAATTGAATTGGATTACATATAATATGAGAAAATTGATATTAATAATTTAAAAGAAATATAATTATTAAACATTATAAATATTTTCATTATTATACATTAAATTTTAAACACATTTTAGGCAACAATTTAATTCAAATGTTTTACTTATAAGTTATATTATAATTTATTTATTTATTATTTTGAAAAAATTAACTAATTTTCGTTTGAAAGAGAACATACTATCGTAAGCAATATCGAGGTCAGAAATCTTTGATTATTGTAGACTAAATAGAAATATACAGAAAGCAGAGCTACAGGCGGTAGTTGAACATGGTAGCGCAAGTTAATTACCAAACCTATAATTAAAATCAAAGACTTGTCACGTATTATATTTAAATTTTGTTGTTCATATATTTAATGATATTACAAACTAAGGGTAGTTTATCTGCTTTTATTAAGTCTTACTTTTTTTCAATTCAATTCTTTAGATTTGTGGCTTCTAAGCCTTTGGGTACAATTTACTTCGCCAATGTCGCGTAGTTGTTTTTTTTCAAGAAAGTGTATTCGAGACATATATGTAGATCACTTTTGCGTTTATATTATTTTATGAATGCTTAAAAAATTATCTCTTTAATTTGTTCAAAGATTAACATATATCGTCAATTTAAGGTCACGAGGCATACGATCAATGTTGACTATACACTATACAGTGAAGCTCGGTCGGCCTCATTTCCATTCATTCGGTGTTTGTTGACAATCTATCCGGCTGTGGCGCGGTCAGAGGGCGCGGGGTGCCCCTCTCGGCTGCAGTCAGCCGCGTGCGCCCGCGCCCCGCGCATGTGCAACTTGCACTGTAGCGTCGGAACCCGAACCTGAACAGAACCTTCGCGCATCCTTAACCGTCTTAAATCCGCAACCACGATCACTGAACATACGCAACACGCACTCGGACCTATCACCTCCGTTTACAGCCACAGCCGCTTGTGCATATCAGTAAGTTATGCATGAATGTCTTTCACAATACAAACAATTCTACATGAAGGATGTTTGTTTATTTACCTCGTGGCACAAACGCGCGACGTGACGTATACCACGTTCGAACGTCACAATGAATCTTTCAGATGAATTAACGATCGCGACAAAGGAATTTTTACGTTCTATTGCAATGTACAGGATCAAACCGTGTTACAATTAAATATATAAATATTTTACTAAACTAGTATTGTATCTGATATAGTTATGTCGGTTTAGGGGCAAATATAAAATGTTTTGTGTATTATTTATAATGAGAATGAATTGCAATTTGCGGTGTCCAGACATGGTCGGAAGTGGGAGCTCAACGGCCGGCAGCCTCGACGCACACCTGCCCGTCACGCCGCGCTTACGACGCCACTCGCATTGTATTTCATTTTGCTATCTTTTAGTACGTATCAATTCGTGGATACTTCACGAAAGAAAATTTTATTCCCACATGTTGTCACTTGTCATTGCCAAAAGCGACTTACAATAGAAAACATAAATTGGTACTTTAGATGGAGTATCATTTGTGTTACGTAAAATATTATCTATTTACTTTTAAAATATTTAGAAAGTACACAATCGTCGCGTACCTACTCATTTAGTACTAGACTCTTTTGCATGACTTAACAAATTGTAATTATATACAAATTGTAATTAAATATATATATGTAATGGTTAATAAATTTATATTGAAATGTACCGTAGATAGGTAATAAGATTATATTTTAATTATGATAACACTTTGTATATCTGACGACTTTAAGTATGATAGCGATGGTAAACAACAAAAACAAAAGCTTTTGTTATTGGCGAGCTTAAGTGTTATCAGTAAAAAAAAATTGAATACGGTTTTTTAATATATACAAGTAAAGTATATTCTATAATTAAAAATTGAGTTTTACTCAAATTAACTATATATTTTGCTCGAATTTCGATCACTAGGTGGACACACAATAATAATTTGTCTTAAAAATCTACAGTAATATATTTTTCAAAAAAAACTTTTTAACTTAAACTTAGAAATAATGCATTACATTTTATTTGTAACCGCTTATTTTCTTGTTTAAAATTCAACTAAGCTTTTACGAATTGTATGAAATTATCGGTCCTCTTGAAGATTTTCATAAATAAACCCTATTTGTTGTAAATAGGCATATCAATTACGACGAGAATTTAATAAAACTTGAGAAACATGAAAATAACCTTAGCAGACAGAGATAGAGCTCATTAACTTTTAGCTTTTACCGAGTCAGCACGTGGTTATAAAGATAGATTTTTCTCAATGATACCAATGATGGCATCTGTATTTTGTGCTATAGAGTATAGACTATAGACGTCTATAGCATATAAGATGTCCTTTTTGCTAAACTCGCGGCCTCTACATTCGCATGAGAGGGAACGCGAGGCTAGCGCTTCAGCGGACCCTCTTCGTCGCCGTCGGCTAGGGGGGAGGAGGCGCCGGTATGCGCATCTTCTCCCGCCACCCTAGAGGAGCTGCGGCGGGGGGGTCTCTCGTTGACTCCCCTGCACGTCATCGGGGCGGTCGGGATGCCCTGTGAACCGAGGGCATCCTGATTTAGGCGAGGCTGGCCCGCGTGGTACGGGCCGTCCGCAGGGGTGTTGGAGTGAGTGCGCAAGCGATCCTGCAACGCCCTATTGCACTGCGGCGAAAGATTCCGCTGTGGGTTTTAGTGAGTAGGCCTCTACATTCGCATGCATGCCATTCTACTATAAAGCGCAACACGAAAAAGATGATTTTTAGATAGCAATAGCTTATGTGTAAAGAGTGCTAGTTCAATTTTTTATGCTGATACGTGAAAAAGCGCCCCTGAAATATTATAGTCTTGTAAAAAGTGTATTTAAGGTAGATGCTAGATGAAGCGCTAATGTAGAGATTATTAATCGATCTTTATAACAGTGATAAGACAAGTTGTAGATATGTTAATAACTTATAAATATTCTAAGTTATATAATATCAGTTTAAGCATGTGATAAAAGAACTGCTAAATGTATCTTTAAAATAAAATAAACATCGAGTCTTGCGCAATGATAGATATTAGTAAAGAATGAAGAAATGCCGTCCTCTGTAATAGACTTTGCAAAGTCGTTGCCTCACTCCTTATAGATTTAATATGCAACGCTAATTTATTTCCTCTAAAATGTAAGAAATAAAAAAAATATATATACTTCGTATATTGCAAAAATTGTATCTTACTATATGTAATTAGCAGAACCCACGGCTTCGCTCGCGCTAAAACTATAAAAAATCTCTAAAAAGTGGGTTTCATAAAAACTTTTATCCTCTACTAGCGGCTCACCCTCGCTTCGCTCGGGTTCGTCGCTAGGTACGTTTTAAATAGATAGAAATTAGCCAGTGTTATTAGCCATATAATTTTTTTTTTCGTTAATTTTTCTGACGTTTTAATACTTAGGTATTAACCTATTCCGGAATGAGAGAAATCCAAAAATTCAAATATCATAAAAATTGGTCCAGCCGTCCTTGAGACTTGTATACGGGAACGCAGTCGAACGGGCTAAAAAGTATCCTATGTCCGTCTCCTGGTTCTAAGCTACCTCCCCACCAAGTTTCAGCCAAATCGGTTCAGCCGTTCTTGAATTATAAATAGTGTAACTAACACGACTTTCTTTTATATATATAGATTTCACCCTCTTGGGGGTTGCATTTTGAAAATTTTTTCCATAGTGGATGCCTTCGTCTTATGATGAATACGTGTGCGAAATTTCAATTTTCTAGCCTTAAGGGATTGGCCTGTGCGTTGATACATCAGTCAATCACTTTTGTTTATATATATATATATATATATATATAGCACCTCCAGGTAAATTTCTAAGAAATCTATTGTTAACTATAACGCTGGCGTGTCCGAGGTCTTTGAGGGATTAAATTAAAATAAAATTGACGGTCATTTTTAACCGACTTCCAAAAAGGACGAGGTTCTATGTTTTAGAATAAATTGTCCAAAAAATATTATAGGTTCTTTGTTATATAAGGACAGGATACTTTTTATCCCGGAAATCATTCATTAAAGGGGTGAAAAAGTGAAAAATGAAAATTTCTATGGAAAATCAACCGAGGGACGAACCCGAGCGAAGCGAGGGTGAGTCGCTAGTAATTTAGAACTTGCAACCAACATTCAATAACATTGATTCAGAAATCGCAAACAGTCAAAAAATGAAATGTAGTTATTTATCTTTTTTTTTTTTATAAGCTTAGTAATTATTTTTAACATGGCCATCCAGTTTACTGTTAAATTTCAGCTTGAAATTTTACACTAAAAATGAATTCACTCCCTTCTTATAATATTCTAAGACTTGCATTCCCCGCGGCTTCGCCCGCGTTCAGATGACCAAAAACCAAATTCTTAGGTTTTACATATTAGTATACTCTTACATTGCAGCTTTTGTATTTTTTCTCAGAAATTAGACATTTTCCCGCGGTAAAAAGTGTCCTATATGTTGACCCGGATAACCATCTATCACCATACCAAATTTCATCAAAATCCTTCCAGTGGTTTTTCTGTGATGCGGTAACAGACAGACAGACAGACAAAAATTCTAAAAACTATACATTCGGCCTCTGTATCGATAATAATGTCTATTTCAATATGATTTTCAAAAAAATATTTAATGTACAGATTCGGCTTAGTTACAATTTTATTTGTGTATAGATAAAAGATGATAGTAAATTGAAGGACTTTTATTGATGAAGAAATAAGTGTGCATTCAGAATAGAAATAAATAAATGATTAAGTAACTGAAAGACGAAAACGTCTCAAACATCAAAACTAAAACTGACCGCGATCGCTGAGACTAGCCAGACATTGTTATGTAAACATTATGAAAGCGGGCTCACTCCGGCTAGATGTCTTTTAGACTTAACTATCAAACAAACTATAAATAGCATTATTATTGTGTACATATGACGTAACGTTTATGACAAATACAAAACAATAATTTATTTTTTTGCGTTTTAACTTTTAACCGAGTTCCAGTTGTCCAGTTAGTCAACTAGTGTCTAAGAGAATTTTCTTTAGTAATCGACAATCCAAGAGATTTTACCACTAAATGTAAATTATATTTACAGTAGAATCGAAGATATCATGTAATCTTCAATAGGTTTGAGGCCTGACGTCAAGCACGAGTAAGCGACGACCGGGGCCCGGATGGGGTCCGCGCTAAAAACTAGAAGGTGATAATCAAACGCGCAAAATAATATATGGGTATGGTAATACATTCTTGAAGACCTATCTGTAGTCGTAGATTATTTTGGATTTTAAAAGGACATAAAGCATATAAATATAATCACTTCAAAGAACTTTATGAACTGACTTAAAAAAAATTATGCACTAACTCTACGGGAGGAATGGATTTTTCTCGTCAAAATTTAGCGTCAAAAATAAGAAATACGGTATTCGTATACGGAAGTAATAACTTTATCAACTTCATTATCTCAATTTCTTGTATGTATTTATTTATTTATTTATTATAAAGGCTTACTAACTAAATTTACATAAAAATATTTATTTAACATTATAATTTTACCTATGTGTCTATAAATTTAATTTAAAAGTATGCACAGCTTTTTATAGAATTATTCCAATAAAATTTTATGTGGTTAAGAGTATATAAGGAGCCATTTCAGTTGTACAATAAACAAAAGAAGAAAAAAAAACGTATGAAACAAGTATCGCCGTTAGTAGTTAGTTACGTATGGTTTTATACATATTATATAGTACATACACACGTAACAAAATACTTTTTAAATATGTGGAAATATACGTAAATACTCAAATAAATTGCTCAAATCATCAATAGCTTTTATTTTTGACCATAAATGAGATTTTTTAACTCTTCATCGAAACATCTGTCATTAGAAATGTAGAAAAAAGGAGTATCTACTAAGATGTAAAATTTAAGAATGAGTAAAACTCAGAATTTGGGCTCTTTTAGATTTTTTCACATATTCCTTACATTTAACTTGGCGGCGAGGATCTGGCGATTGGGTTATACACATAAGTGGACAAGAGCTTTTCAGTTTTTATCTTTATGTATGCTTAAATATTTGATGTACCTATACGACTTTTAAGTACTAAGTTATATATTAAATAAAGAGGGGCAACCTATTATATAGGTTATTATATAAGCTATTCTTTACGTCAAACAAGAACCATTAAATTTCTCATCTCGTAAGTAGTAACATTTAGGTACTGCTACTTGCTGTAGGTATTTTGTATCCTGGTATTAAATTTTTAATCTCAATCATTCAAGTTACGGGAGTAGAATAAACTTAGCCGAAAATTAAACTGTATAATCCACATAAAATCAAAATAATATTGATGAAATTGACGCAAGCACAGACTATAACTTAGTTAAATATGTGAAAAAGGTCTCTTATTATGAGCGTTGTGTAAATAAAATCAAATTTATAACATAAATTCTTACTATTTTTTCGCAAATAACATAAGCTCGCGTATTTACGATGTATATGTACATATGCCTGACTGATGCCTAATTAAAACGGTCAAAAAATAGACCATGAGTAACCGTTGATGACGTCGTGGTTCGTACAGGTGTTCCGCGGTGACGCCGCTCTGACGGCGCGGCGAATGCGTCACGGTAACACGAGCCATGCCGTACACCGTTGGTCGGTCCATCACCTCTGAAAGTGTCATCCTTAACTACCCACAATTCATAATACTTTCTTAGATTTACGCGAATATTTAAATTTTAAATAAAATAAAAGTATGTTTTCGGATTATTTCGCGGATTTATTTTGATTTTTGGTTTCCGACGGTTCGAATGCTGGTACAACAATCATGGTCACGGGAGAGACTGAGGTGTTAGATGTCTCGTGTAACAACTATACCTTCGAGATCATACAAATCATACAAAAAATATAACATACACAATTATTGTAAAGTATCAAAAAATCTACTTTAATTTTTTGCTATTTATTATTATCATATTATATATTTAAAAACCGTTACTCCACGCCATAAACACAATAAAATCTTTAAGCTCTATGTTATGATCATATTACGGTATACAGGGCGTAAAGGAAAACAGCGATTCATTTATCCACGTCATTTAAATTTAAATTGACTAACAATAGACATATGCCTCCTCCATTAAGGATATCAAATTTATCGTTGCTCTTAATTGTGATAAATCGAATAGCTAACGTCAATGAATGCATATTAAACATAATATTTAGTGGGGTCTAAACTAAACTAAACGCACTGTGAATTATATTTAAGTGTTAAGGCCCAAAATGTGTGGTAGACGATGAGCTTACCATATAGCATGGGTACTCGAATCATACAGTCCTAGAGTCGTACTGGTGGGTCAATATTATTAATTATTAATTTTCTATGCCCCGCCATAATTCACCTTCGCTCAAATTGTAAGCTATATGTACATATCTACTTTAGATGAATAGTTCAGTGACGCGATATGATTTCGCGTACCATCTATGTACATAGATTTTAAGTGTACCACATGTCTGGTATAATTGTAGCGCAGTGTGAGAGCGCTCTAGCAGTCGAGAGGCGATAATGAGGAGTGCAATGGTGACGTCAGGAGGCGCGCGGGTGGGTGCGGGGGTGAGGGCGGCGGCGGGGCGACGGCGGAGGGGGAGGGGCGCGGGACACCGAGGACGGAGCCGCGCGCCCGTTCATTGTAGTTTTTCGATTATTGTTTAATTAGGGCGAAGCGGCGGCCAGAGGACACCAACTTGCGGACCGCTTTTCCGCTAAATCGCAAGAAATAACTCTGTTAATAAAATAATGATGTAATTAATTTCACAGAGGTTTTCGTGATATTTACATTTGTTATTTAACTAGATATCGAAATTTGATAAGCCTTTCACGGAAAGCAAATAACAGTTTTCGTAAACATTTTCAGTTTTCATTTATTAACGTAGATTTTCTTTAATTCTTGTAAAGTTGACTTTCAATAAACAATATCTGTAATTATAAGCAATTTTATTTAGAACACATTATCTTTTTTTTAAGATGATAGAAAACGCTACTACAAAGCTAAAAATATAGGGAAATCACATAACTAGCTTTATGTCATTCTCATATAGGTATTTTTTAATTTTCTATTAATAATAGATACCTAATAATTATAAGATTATTCTTAGATAACAAAGTTAACTCGTATAAGGAACTTGGCTTTAGTTTTAAAATAGGTAAGTAATTAAGTATATTTAGTTACTTACTGTATAATTCTTATAAAAATAAATAGCTTAACCGTTATGGGAATTTTATAAAAATAAAATTTGTGCTGGGCGAGGGACAGGGCGCATACATAAACAATAATTAGGACTGTTGATATTTAGTCTTTTTTCAACCGACTTCAAAAAGGAGGAGGTTCTCAATTCGACTGTATTTTTTTTTTGTTTTTTTTTATGTTTGTTACCTCAGAACTCCGTTATTTATTAACCGATTTGGACAATTTTTGTGTTGTTTGAAAGTGTATACTTCCAGATTGGTCCCATTTAAATTTAAAAAAAAAAATACCACCCCTAAGGGTGGAAAAATAGCTAATGATGAATTTAACCTACTTCTAATTGTCATATTAACTTTAAATTTTCAAGTATTTCTATTTCCGTTGATAGTACAGTGGTTCGGTATTGTTGACTTGATCTGATGGTAAGGCCAGAAGGTGGATAGGTGGAACTCTTCAACGGCTAATAGTAGATACTTTGAGTTTGGGCTTATTTTGTTTGATTTGACAAGCCTAACACGTTGGAATTCTTACTTTGCTACTACTGTCTACACTAAAAAGGGAAAAATAAAAACTTTTTAACAAAAAAATAAAAACCGACTTCAAACAAAAGCACTAAAAAGTAAAAAATAACTGATTGTTAGTTTTCATTTACTATACATACCTAATCAAATATTTTCGAAGTCGGTGTGCTTTGGCTAAGTAATTTAAGCCTACCTATTAAATACATACCTAATCAAATATTTTCGAAATCGGTGCCAGCCCATACAAAGCAAAGCACACCGACTTCGAAAATTTTGATTAGGTATGTATAGTAAATGAAAACTAACAATCAGTTATTTTTTACTTTTTAGTGCTTTTGTTTGAAGTCGGTTTTTATTTTTTTGTTAAAAAGTTTTTGTATATATGTGTGCATTACAATATAAATAAACGCAAAAGTGTGTTTGTTCTTACCTATTATGCAGCAATGTATTTTTGCATAGAAATATTTTTGTCTTGAATAGTGACATTGGCAAATTTATCTTATCCCAATATATTAAGTTGTTCAAACGACATTTTGAATGAAATACTGCAGAACACGTGGGGTGTAGAGAAGGCATCGGCCTCGAAACTGATCCAGTAATACCATAAAACAAAGCTTCATTTTTATGCGCGTAGTTTTTGCTATACATATAGTCTTACATTTACTCATACATTAATTAGACACAAATAGATATTATAATATTAGAGCCAAAACGAAGCAAAAGCGCTAGTATTCATATAAATAAGCGACGCAGACGGTGCGTTGGTTGGTAGCGGCTGACTTGCTATCTGCGGGCGGCGACCGTCGGGGGCCCGCGGGGTTGGCGGCGGCGCGGGAAAGAGCGCGTAAAGAGGCGAGCGGCCGGCGCGGGCGCGGATCCGCCGCCGCGCGCCTTTCACGAGGTCGACGCCCGCCGGGGCCCCGCCGAAACCGACCCCGACCCCCGCTCCGTCTACTCCTGACCCCTCCCCGCACTGGAAATTTTCCCCAATTTTTCAAGTAAGAAAACAAATGCGACTAGTCTTACCGTCTGCATCTCAAACGGTCTCGCATTGTCACCTCGAGAACGTAATCCAACATCTATATTTAGGATGCGTCGTCCGACGCTCAAGGTGAGACGATCGTGTCGCAACTGCAATGACACGAGCACGGTCTCATCCATGAGTTTAGTTTTCCCGTTTTCAGAGATATCATCCCTGAGTTCCCTACAAAAATAAGATTAGGCTGAAACTATAACTAAAGTCGCAAAGAAAATATTTTACGACACGCCCACAAAACCATCGCACAGACATCGCCTGATAATAAAAGGACCATTAACGTTGAATCAGTTTTTGACGTCGAACTTTAACTATCAAGTCATATGATCTGCAATTTTTATATTTGCGGTAGATCAGGCATCATAAAGGATTACCATTTTAGGTTGAGACTATTTTCCTATTAAAATAGTATATTATATATTACTTTCCTCCAGTAATAGTAGATGATTGAGAATAAATTTTGTTACATTGAAATTACTTGAAATGTGAAAATACTAAAGTCATGCTTTAGTTCCAGAAGATGACTAATATATTGTAATATATCGTAGTGTCGCAGTGATAGAGTCTTATTGTTTGTATGTGGCAGTGGACGTGCACGCTCATCGATAGTATCCGGGCCAATGCCAGCCGTACCTAAACTAGAAAAGTATTGTCCTCGAACGTTCTGCGCGATAACCACAAGCGCCATATGAGGTAATAGGAGTTCTATGTCATTTGGCTAGAGTCGAGATTTCAGAGGCAATGTTCATAGAGTTTGCGCGTGAGATATATGGAGTCGCGGCATGCGGGTCGCGCGGCGTTCTCACGCTTTGAATATTCCTGCTCCCGGCTGTTCCCCGCGCCCTCTCCTCGCACCCTGCTCCCCACGCCTTGCAACCCTCCGTGCCCCGTCCCGTGTTCGGATTCTTGCTCTGCCATCGGCCCTTAGATCACGTCCTCGGACTCCAACTACATAAGGGTATCCCTTAATTAAATCAACCAAGAATATTTAATAATACATGTTTTTTCTTATTATAATTATCTTTTTAAGAGTTGTAAATTATTAAGTAGATACTAATTCAAGCTTTAGTTTTTATTAATCAATGATACTTACTGTGTTACTTTCACATAATTTTTATCAGAAATTGTATTTTTAGGTAAAATAACATAAACATAAGTTGTAACTAAAAATACAAAACGAACAAAAATATAAGTGTCCTATATAAAAATCTATCTAAATAATTAGAGATAAAGCTACGCAATCGCGGCGCCATCCGAGGCTCTGAACAACTGAACTCTTCCTCCGGGCCATTAATCACGTCTTTACGACATTGTTTAGTTCAGTGGGTGAACATTTTTCTATTTCAGAATCATTCATGTAACACCACGCGGTGTGTCGATGGTGAGGACTCCCACGGTACAGACTCAGACATCGGAGCACAGTTCATCCTTGACTTACATTTTCAATATCGTACCTTTTGTGCGGGACTCGGTTTCCGTGAGAACTGAATACTTCAAATTTCATGCGCCACTTGGAATAGATTAATATTCCTACTAGAACAATGGATTGTTTTTCTATGCGGGATGTTCAATATAGCGGTATAACGTGCGCCCGCGTTCTATAACTGATTCAACTATTTATTATATACTTTATTATTTAAACTCAATCAAGACAGAAAGTATTAAATCTTTACATATAATAAAGTTGTAACCAAGCCGAATCTATAAATTTAATATTTTTTACAAAATCTTATTCAAATAAACATTATTATCGATACAGAGGCCGAATCTATAGTTTTTAGATTTTTTGTTTGTCTGTCTGTTACCGCATCACAGAAAAACCACTGGAGGGATTTTGATGAAATTTGGTATGGTGATAGCTAGTTATCTGGGTCTACATATAGGATAATTTTACCGCGGGAAAATATCTCACTTCTGAGAAAAAATGCAAAAACTGCAATCTAAGAGAATACCAATCAGTAAAACCAAAGAATTTGGTTTTTGGCTGTCTGAACGCGGGCGGAGCCGCGGGCAATGCTAGTATAGTATAAAATACGCGGTGAAAGGGTCGCAAAACTCAACATTGAATATAATTTTTACTCTAGGTATACTGATCCAAAAAGGCACGTAAATTTAAAAAAAATATATAAATACGCTTTGTACACAGCTAAATAGTAATGCTCGAACATTATAGATTAAATAACGTTTGGGATTAATACCCAACACTCAAACTATGGATCTGCAGAAACTGTACAGACCATTCATAAAGCATAATATAAGTACATATGTATGTCTGTTAGAAAACTAAATAAAATGCAATTACAAAACCAAAGACCAAGTTTGTTATGTAAAAATATGGATATGGTCACACTCTGTCTGCACATATTATTCATCTTAATTATTTACACGTGAAAATAAGCTCTAGTGCGTCGTGAATAAGATATTTTTTTGTTTATAATGTTTTTAATAAGCATTGATTTTATAAGGTATATTTTTGAATAACTCTATGTAGAAGTTATAATTTTGTAACGCTTATTGTTTCATAGAACCAAATTCTTATATCTACCTCCTCACAATCGAAAACTAGGACCAAACGTTTTTGTATAAAAGTTTTTAAAGATTTTATAAATATTTTTAGACAAAATAGTACGAGCAAAGTCCGTCTAAAGGAGGGTTACGTACTTAAAAATAATACATATATATGTTTAGATTTTTTTGTTATAGGTATGACGATGATAGTTGCACTAGATAAAATTATATACTATTCTTTATTGCACTTATGTAAAATACAGAGATTAACAAACAATAAAATTAGTTAGCAAAGGTGGACTTATCTCTAGAAGAGATCTCTTCCAGTCAACCTAAGTGAGTTGGAGAGATAGTATTAAAAAGCAGGCAGTGCAGTTACTCAAATATAAATACTTCAATAAATATATATTATATAAACATATAATAAAACATTATACATACTATAGACCATAACATATGTACATACTACTACATACACAATACATATCTATATAATATAATGCATAATAATAGAGTTTATATAATTATTGTGGAATAACTTGGGTGAGAAGGTGCTGTTTTATTTATTAAAATTATATACAAGTATAAAATATATTTCTTTTAAATTAACCCCCTTCGGCTTCTGTTCTATTTCGGTAACACCTAATACCAGAGTTGGCTAATGTAACCGAACTCTATATCGTATGCACCAAATTTTAATTGTTTTTTTTTTCATTATTTCGTTCAGTAAATTCCGGGAAAGTAGGCTGTGAAGGAGACAGACTGATAAATAGACCTGATGATGATGTTCTCCTGACCGATTCCGGCCACGGCGACCAATCTCATTGAGACTAGCCAACTGCGCCGGAGATATTATAGTGCACAAGTGTACGCGCAGACACATATGCACTCTCTATACCCGTCACTCTCATACTCCGGTGGGACGACTACTCGACACGACCGGTGAGAGATAAGGCGCAGGACCGACGGCTTTACGTGCTCTCCGAGGCACGGGGGTGAAACACCGCCAACTTCCCAACTCCGGGCTGTTACTGAGGCTTACTATACAGAAAGACTCAATAACTAAACTTGGCCCGACCCGGGACTCGAACCCAGGACCTCCGGGTGTGCAGCCGTACATGCTAGCCGCTACACCACCGAGGCAGTTGAATAAATAGACCTACAAGGGCCTTTACATATAAAATAAGTTAAGTTGAAATAAAAAACATATTTAGCATATTTAAAACTATAGAAATGTAGCTTGAAAGTCGCGACCGCCAGAAGGCGACACCAAGGCTTCCGCGAAATGACGCAAGTATCCCTGAATGAAACGCGATACCAGCGCTGTGGAACAACTAAAAGCAAAACGGTTCGCCTAGCGATCTGTTCGTAATTAAAAGTATCATTATAAAAACAAGTAGAAAGCATAAATTATATTATTTTTCTTAATTTTCAACTGACTTCCTCAGAAAGGAGGAGGTTCTCAATTCGGCTATTTTTTTTATATTTGTTACCTCAGAACTCCGTCATTTATTAACCGATTTGGACAAATTTATAAAAAAAATTAATTCAAAAAATATACCACCGCTGAGGGTGAATATAAGCTAATGATGAATTTAACCTACTTCTAATTGTCATATTGACTTGAAACTTATCAAGTGTTTCTATTTCCGTTGATAGTGCAGTGGTTCGGTATTGTTGACCTGATCTGATGGTAAGGCCAGAAGGTGGATAGGTGGAACTCTTCAACGGCTAATTGTAGATACTTTGAGTTTGAGCTTATTTTGTTTGATTTGACAAGCCCAATACGTTAGAATTGGATTTTCAACCGACTTCAAAAAGGAGGAGGTTCTGAATTCGACTGTATTTTATTTTGTTTTTTTTTTATGTTTGTTACCTCAGAACTTCGTCATTTATTAACCGATTTGGACAATTTTTGTTTTGTTTGAAAGTGTATACTTCCAGATTGGTCCCATTTAAATTTCAAAAAAAAATACCACCCCTAAGGGTGAAAAAATAGCTAATAATGAATTTAACCTACTTCTAATTGTCATATTGACTTGAAACTTTGCAAGTGTTTCTATTTCCGTCGATAGTACAGTGGTTCGGTATTGTTGACCTGATCTGATGGTAAGGCCAGAAGGTGGATAGGTGGAACTTTTCAACGACTAATAGTAGATACTTTGAGTTTGGGCTTATTTTGCAAAAGCACACCGACTTCGAAAATATTTGATTAGGTATGTATAGTAAATGAAAACTACCAATCAGTTATTTTTTACTTTTTAGTGCTTTTGTTTGAAGTCGGTTTTTATTTTTTTGTTAAAAAGTTTTTATAGAGCCAAAATTTTAAGCGTTACTAATAAAAGCGAATTTTAGTTTGTCAGTTTTCATATAACAATAGGCATCAAACTAACTTAAACGGTTTAAGCGAATATTTTATTATAATACTTTCTTCTTACTTCGCTAATGCTATGTCTACACCAAAAAGAAAAAAAAAACTTTGAAAAATAAAATAAAAACCGACTTCAAAAAAAAACACTAAAAAGTGAAAAATAACTGATCGGTACTTTTTTACATTTACTATAGACCTAATCAAATATTTTCGAAGTTAGTGCCAGCCGATACAAATCAAAGCACATCGATTTCGAAAATATCTATTAGGTAGATCTATATTAAATGAAAACTACCAATTAGTTATTTTTTACTTTTTAGTGCTTTTTTTTGAAGTAGGTTTTTTTAAGTTTTTATTATAATTAACGTTCGTCACTTAAAAATGTGTTTAGCATAATTGATAATAATAGATAAATAAAAATGTGCACTTTTAAAGGTATAATGCGTTACGTCCTTTCCAGTATACATCATAGAGCGCATTCATTTCGTGTTAGTTTACAATCATTTGCTATGGTTGCAACTGTGGATGTTCGTAGTCCTTTGTTGTCTATACAATTTTATTCATAGTTCATATAACATATAAAAAGCGTTACAACTTGCTAACGATAAGTATATTTTATGTACCTAATGCTTAGCATATATATATATATATATATATATATATATATATATATATATATATATATATATATATATATATATATATATATATTATATACTGTGACTGTGTAGCAACACATAGGCCAAACCCTTATTTATGGCTAGAAAATTGAAATTTCGTATGAATTAAGTACGACAAAAAAAATGAGTTACGTATTTCAGCGTTTTCCAAAATTCAACCCGTAAGAGGGTAAAATAGGGGATGAATGTTTGTATCGAACCTACCTTTTTAAAGATTTTATTTATAGTTTTAGCGCGAGCGATGCCGCGGGTTATGCTAGTTATTTCTATAAAACTTATTAAAACAATAGCATTAGACAATATTGTGATAAGTTCTTGAGGTTTGTGTATTAAGTACATACATATTTTAAAAAGCAACAAGCTTTTATTTCCTATCAACAAAATCATATTTTAGTTAAAAAGATTCAATTATCTTATCGGATTACTAACTGACTAACAATATTTACTAACCTTTCTCAACGTTTCAGACAGTGTGTATTGGTAATGTCTAATAATGTAAGTAATTTTTAATCCTTTGCTTCTACATCTCTAGTCTGACTGGTCAGATTAATGAAGATCTTTTGCTTTGATCGCACGATTAATTGTAAGAAAAGGTTAAAATATTAAGGTAACTTTTACTACCTAAGATACTATAGGTATGTAACACGTTTGGCTCAATTTGTAGTAACCCTACTTGCTGTGCTAGCGGTCGCGGGTTCGAGTCCCGCTGGCACAGCGTTAATTAGCGCACAGTGTTTAATGTTTATATTTATAATATGTATGTATTTAAAGTCATATTTGTGTTGTGTATCAACTATCTGGTATCCATAACACAGGCCTCGTAGCTTATTATGTAACTAGACGGTGCTGTGTGTTAAAAGAAAGGAATTGAAAATTATAAGATTTTGAAGGTATGTATTTGAATGTATCACCACCACTACTTGCTTCGTAATTTTTATTCAGCTC